TGGGGGTGTGATTTGGGTCCAATTGTACACAATTTACCTCTCATTTCTTGTTCGTTTTGCTTAGTAGATCACCGTCCCTCGACCTATTTTATGCTAGGTTGTACTTGTCTTGGTACAGTTCAGGTCCTAGCACGTGTGGGAAGGTCTAGGACAAGTTTCAGGTCATTCGGAGGTCAAAACAAGCCAAAAAGTGGAGGTAACAGTTTCTTGGAGAGGAAATAGTTTCTTTCTCTAGGTTTTCAACCCAAAACACCAAAGGGGAGTTCTAGAGAGAGAGAGAGTGAGTGCTTGAGTGATCTTGGAGCTTAATTGAAGGCATTGATCAAGCTTGGAAGCAAGGAATCAGGCCTAGAAGAAGAAGAAGATCTTGGGCTCCAATTTGTAATCTCTCTCTTCTCTCTCTAGAAACTCACCCGCTTCTCTTGGGTTTAAGAACCCTAGGTCTAGATTTTGGTTTTATGTTGATGTATGTGACAAATTCCATGTTTGATTGATGATTTTACTTAATTGATGGATGTTTTCAAGAATGACATGAGTTGGGTTTCCCTTTTCATGCATTGAGCTTTTGGCCTAGGAGGGAGAAAATCCCCTTAGAGCCCATTATTGGCGTCTTTGGGTCACTCCTATCGTATATTGTCCGGGTAATCCTCGAGGGAGTTCATTCGATCTACCTCCTAGCAATATATAAAATCCTAGGATGAATAGAACATACCCCATTCATCGATTTGCCATTCCGGGTCAATCCCCGAGGAAGTCCATCTCCTAACGGAAGAGTAATTGAGTCGATTGAGCTAGGAGGATACTCAACATCGATCCAATGGATGGAACTAGGGGGATTCAACCCAAGAGAGCTCCCAAAACTTGTAAATAGCTAGGTTAGTGGTTAGCTAGGTTAGTTAGTTTAGTCTTTCTAATCACCATCCTAGGTTGGCTAGATAACGAACCCTACATCTGAAGTAGGGTAAGCCTTGATCCCAGTGCTACGATAAATTATTATTGCTTGCTTGCCCTATGATGCTCCCGGTCGTAGGTATACTTGGCCGACGATTTGGAAGTGTAGTTAGATCGAGTCAGTATTCCACTTTTTGACTCGTTTTGACCCCCAAAAGTCGTGAAACTTGCTCCTAGGCTTCCTCTTAGTGTTAGGACCTAAAATAGGACAAAAAGAACACAACCTAGCGTAAGATGCACTAAGGATAGGGTGTTTGAAAGGCAAATGATCAATAACAGCATGTGACTTTCGATGGTTGGTAGTAGTTAACTAGAAACTTACGAGGTCAACTCTCACATGTAGAGACTCAACCACATGAGTCATAAGGACAATCTTTCTTGCTTACATCACTACCATGACCGCGAGAAAGAGCAATTTTTACACCTTAGCAATCACATAAGGGATTCGTTTAACTCCTTTTCTGCGATCCGTGTGGAGCATAAGTGTAAACAAGGGCTTTCGAAAGCTTTATTTGTGCCTTTCAAGCACAATACTCAAACAAAACTTCACTTGTATGGATTATACTAGATACGCAACATTGTACGATCATGAATCGGTGCTCAGTTGAATCTTTCCTATTCTCTGTGTGCAATGATTATTGCCCCACACGTTGGCACACACCCCCACACTTTATTTGTTTAGCAATGTTCGATGAAAAATTGTTGTCATGTAGGATTTTTCTACATTTCATTGATAAAGATAAAGTGCACCCCACTTAAAAATTTTCAAAATAGAGAGACTACTATGCAGAGCTTAACAGTTCACAAGAGACAAAATAGGCATTGTATCGAGTGGTATTCAACTCTCAGGATGAAGACATCCTGCATACTTATCCTCTCCAGATCACATGGCATAAAAAGACAAATAATTCAAAGCACACTTCGCAAGAAATTGCATACGACAATGAATTTGGAGCCCTCAAATTTTAAAAGATAAGGAGGGTAGAACAAATTTACCAGATCAGGTGTGAAGGATGATGGATGGAACAGGAGGAACTATAGATTCTGAAGAGTAAAAAGCACACCAAAGCACTAAATGCTCACAATGGTTGAGTTATTAACTCAAAAATCAAAAGACAAACTAACTCAACCAAAGAGAAATGAGAAAAAATGCCAACCAACTGGTTGGGTTGCCTCCTAACAAGCGCTTCTTTAACGTCATGAGCCAGACACTAGTTTCTAAGTCTTGGTCCATCCCAAAACCTCCTTGAAGTTGAGGTTCTCGTCGATGAGGTGTAGTCTCAAGTCACGAGCAGTAAGCGAGACAAGTGTTGAGGGCTCGTGGACTTGATTCAGATGTAGGCTCCACCCACGAGACCTCTTCTTCCCTTCTTGTCTTTTCTCATTGTCCCAAACCAAGGAAGACATAATAGATTGCAAGAAAATGAGAGAAATTTTGAAAAGGAGAAGGAAGAAGTCACGACAGTCCCACAATGGTTGGCTCGCCGCACTTTTTCCAGCTCCAGGCACCTCATAAGACCATTTCCTACAAGGAGAAGGAAAGAAATCTGTAGCGTGGAAGGAAAGTGGCAGTGGCGGTTTGCATCATCATGAAGACGCCACTGACAAAGTCCATCATCAATGTGATTTTTCATTTTCCTACACAAAATAACATCCTAGAGAGTCTGTTTTTCGCAAGTAGAAGGACGATAATGGGTACTATCACGAGGCCGCCACTCTTTTGTAATAGGAAGGCAACCCCCTCTTCTTTTTACTCACACCTACTCATGAGATTAAGAGCAAAATTTTGGTGATATAAATCATTGGAGTGTTTTTCAAAACATTTTAAGAAGGCCCGTCCTTTTGAGATGGTGGAGACAAAGAAAGAGTGTACGGAGGAGTTAAAAACACCCATCCTGGTGAGATGGTGGAGGAAAAGGGGGAGCATCCACTCAAGGAGGGAGTAAGAAGGCCAGCACGCTAGAAAGAGAGTAGGTGACTCTCGAGAGACAATTGATGCCTACTCAAGCCCAAATCATGGCATCATCTCTCGCCATGAAGAAGGACCCGGATGATGACATACCCTTGATGGAGAGGATGGTCATATTTGAAGTAACAATCCAACATTTTCATGTTTTTCAAGAGCTGATCGAAGCAGTGGGAGGAGAAGAAAGTGCTCTGCCACTATTGGAGAGCATCATTGATCTGAGGAATCCAATCGAGCAACTCGAGCCAATTTTATAGACTGACAAGAAGATCGAGCATAAGGCAACCATCATTAAGTCAAATCGTTGGGGACACAAAGAATTCATCTGTGTATATGAGCAGGATTATGTTCACTGCTTAAACAACTGTCTCCTAGACAATTGTCATCTCGAGGAAGGATTTGTGGTTCTTGGTTCCAGCATCTACATCCTACCACTTCCACTCTATAAAGACACGGGAAGCGTGGTGATAGAATAACCAAGTGGAGTTGTCTTGTCATTTGAGTTGAAAAAGGTGTCAATGCCCACTAATAAGCCAACTCAAAGTAAGGAAGGAATGGTGTACAAAAATTTGTACTTGGACACATGAATGACCTAAGCAAACCCAACGCTTCTGCCGGTTTTACGATGGCGGAGAATCAACAGATTAGCAAACCAAAGAAAAAACTAGTAGTTGTGCCCCATGTAGGAGCATAGATTCCCAGGGCGGTGAATTCAAAAACCAAAGTCAAGGAGAGAAGCTCAGGGGTGGTATATTAGTGATGGGAAAGGTTTGTCCGAAAAGACAACGGATAAGAGTATTGTGTTGCAAATAGCGTTGCCCAATAAAGGGGCGAAAACAAATGACTGAATAATAGAAAGGCATAGGGAGCCTATCTCCTTCGGGTAATAAATGAGAATATTAAGCTATAATAGCCGCGAACTGGGAGTAAGCCTCCAGTTGAGGCCCTAAGGCCTAAAGTCACTTTTGCAATAAGTGTCCTAGTTATGATTTTCTTGATGGAAACTAAGCAAACAGAAGATGAAAATTAAGTCTCCCAAACTGAGATGGGTTTTGATCGAGGTAAAAGTTGTACAACTGATAGGCCAAGGGGTGGGTGAGCCGGGGGAGTGATTATGTGGTGGCACGAAGAAATCGGGGTTCAAATTATGTCTCTATCTCTTCATCACATAAATGCCAAGCTGGCAGATCATAACTCCATGGTTTGACGCTTCACTGGGTTGTATGGTTGGCATTAGGATGGAGGAAAACAAAAGACTTGAGATTTAATGAGGTCGTTATCCCAGTAATGGGATGAGCTTTGGCTTTGCAACGAGGATTTTAACCATATCCTTATCAAGGAAAAGAATGAGGGTGGTAGAGGAGAAAACGCAGATGATATGACTGCTTTCTAGGACTGTTTGATGGAGGTTGGCCTTCAGAACCTTGGGTTCCAAGGATATAATTTCAGCTGGGGGTGGTTTTAACTGAGGAACATTTGGACATGTTCATTGCCTCATTGAAATGGAGTGCTTCGTTTCCCAAAGTTTGGGTAATGACTTTAGAGAAGGCAACCATCGCCCAATAGTATGTGATACCAATGGGGACGACAATGTGGACCCAAAATGGGGATGAATGTTCCAGTTCCAACCTCTGTGGGAAAAGCATGAGCAATGTTTGGAGGTTGTTGCCGAATCATGGAGCAGGGGAAACTCGGGGATGCTCTAGCAAAAAATATTTATCGTAGGAATGACCTGAATGATTGGAGCAAAAAAACTATCCCTCATTTTCGAAAGACGAAAGAATGTATTAGGAGGTCGATGTGTTTCCTGGAGCGTGCAACGAAGACGACACCAGTCGTCACTTAGCCGAAGCAGCTCAACGCTAAACTCCTCAAGCTAGAGGACAATACCAGCAACAATGTTAGCGAATCAAATGGTTGCGCGAGGGTGTTAAAAAAACTAATTTCTTCCACAACAAAGCAACGGCTCGATCAATGAGGAATACCATTAGGAAGCTAAAGGATGAGGGTAGAGGCTAGCATGCGGGTACGAATAAGGTATTACAATGCATGGTTACATACTTCACGTCTCTTTTTCATGCAGGATGCGTCCGTTCTACCACCCTAGTTCTCGATGAGATTGGGCCATCTATCTCGATGGAACATAATGCAAACCTTACCTGACCTTTGGAATGTGAAGAGGTGGCAGTGGCATTAAAATAGATGGAGAAGCGAAAATCTCACGTAGCTGATAACATGTCGGTTTTATGTTTTTGTCAATACTGTAGCATCATAGCGATGATGTTGTTGATCTTTTAATGAGGATTCCTGACTAAGGAATCATGTCAGAGCAGCTGAATAATGCTCTTATTTCTCTAATTCAAAAGTTTAAGAACCCTGTGACGCCAAAAGAAATTTGACCGATTAGCTTGTGCATTGTCTTGTATAAGTTGGTGGCAAAGGTGATAGCTAAACGCCTCAAAGGGAAGTTGGATAGTGTCATATCCAAAGAATAAAGTGCTTTCGTATTATGGATATTCATATTAGATAACATCATGGCTGCTTTTGAATGCTTTCACACTATGAAAAAGAAAGGAAAGGGCAGCGGTGGGAGGTTATTTGTGGCAAAGATTGACATGGCTAAGGCCTATGACTAAGTAGAGTGGTAGTTTTTGGAAGGATCTATAGGATCTATGCAGATCGTGCGTTTTACAAATTGATGGATCCAATGGATTATGATGTGAGTTTGAATAGTATCATACTCCGTCTTTGTGAACGGGCATCAGTCGCAGACTTTTATTCCGAAAAAAGGACTGCGATAGGGAGATCCACTCTCTCCTTGTTTATTCCGCATTTGTGCAGAGGGCCTCTCGGCTTACACAAATAATGTTTTCCTTGATCACAGATTTGATGGCATCCTTCCGGCAAGAGGGGCGCCCTTAGTGTCCAAGCTCTTCTTTGTCGATAAAGGTGTCTTCTCATGTAAGGCGACTGCACATGAAGCTAGTACTCTGAAACAAATACTGAAAGCCTATGAGAGAGGATCAGGGCATCAAGTTACTTTCCAAAAATCGGAGGTCTAATTCAGTGGTAACGTTAAGCCACACCAATGTCTGATGATAAGTGGAACGTTGGAGATTGTTGTGGTGGAAAAGCATGAGAAATGTTTAGGCCTTCCTATCATGGATGGGCGCTCCAAAAAAGATATTTTCTAGGGTCTTACTAACGGAGAAAGAAGCTAAAAGTCTATAAGGAGAGGGTGCTTTTTGTAGCGGGGCGGGAAGTTCACCTTAAATCACTAGCACATGCACAATTCACTTATTCCATGTCAATTTTCCAGGTTCCAAACCTTGTTCTTCATGAAGTTCAAAGCCTCATTGTAGAATTCTACTAGGGACAATAGGGAGTTGAGCTAGCGAGTTCATTGTACAACAGGAGGTTGAGTTGGGGACAACATGGCTTTAACATGATGTTATTAGCCAAGTAGCTTTGGCACCTATATGAGCTCCCAAGCTTCATGATCACATGCATTCTTTCGCGTCAAGTATCACAAAAATGGCTCGGTGTTGGATGCTTCCGTGGACCATCTACCAAGTTTCATTTAGCGATGTTGAATGAGTGCATGAGATTTCTTAAATAGTGGGTTACGATGGAGGGCCAATAATGAAGCGCTGATCTGAGTGGGGGGGGGGGACAAATGACTACCTACCTCCCCGTGGACTATGTCAATTCAATCCCGATGGGAATCCCAACCGACGTTGTTGTACAAGAGCTTATTTCTCAGACACAGATCAGTGGGACGAGGTCATTCTTAAGAAGTGCTTCCTGACGATGATAGATGATGTCATTCTCCAAATACCTCTGGAAAATGTTGAGGAAATGATAGGCAAATATGGATGGGTAATACTCTGGGGTTTACACTATGCAAGATGGGTATCACCTTTGGTTGGAGGAATCCAAAGCTCGAGAACTTGCTATCAGAGGTATTGGTTTAGGCATGGTGGAAAGTTCATCCTTGCAACCTCGAAGAAGGTTCCTGAGAAGTGAGAGCTCGAGATGGCCGAAGCCCTTGCAATAGAATATGGTTTGCAACTTGCCGTGCAAGCCAATATCACCAACTTGGTTCTCGAAACAGATTGTCCATCATTCACTCACAAGCTTGGGGTAGCAGAAAGCACCCTCACGGAGATCGGAATCATCTATAGAAGTATACATAAACTCCTACATGAGAAAGGCAGTGGATTTGGCTATTTCCTCCCCCCCCCCCCCCCCAAAAAAAAAAAAGTAATATGGTAGCTCATATCATGTCCAACTCGAAAACAAGATGAAATGAGAGTGTGGTTTAATTTGGTAGACCACCCATTTTCCTTGTTGATCATATTATGTTAGACAATGCAATCACAACATTTACAACATATATCTATACAAAAAGTTAGATCCAATTATAACATGTACCACCATCTCAAGGATACCAATCCACTTTTTTTTATAATAGACAAAAGTTGTTTCGAAATTAACTTATTTTCTCATTTAAAGGTATGTATATCTATTATCAATATGAAAAAAATTAAAACATGATATTTCATTCCAACAATCCAAAATCAAGCCAAACTAAAAATTGTAACTAGGAAAAAATGACAGACGAATTAAAATTAATCCCATGTTCATGTTCTACCACAAACTAAAATTTCTCCCGCCGAAGAAATTGAGGCATAATAAAGTTGAAAGTTGCTTCGGGTAGCAACAAACGGCGAATCTGAAATGCCATAAACCGAGTCCAACCAGTCCAACATAGCCGATCTAATCTCAAAAGCCTCGAGAGCCGGAGTTCACGTACACAACTATATTCTTCTTGGAGGAACCTTTAGATGGCCTTCAACAACAAAATGGTAAAAGAGTGTTTAAAAAATTGTAAAACTGTTATAAAAGTTTATGCTAAGAAATTTGAAAGGGATGGTGATAATAATGATGTATAAAAGTTAATGGAAAATCTTTGTCGTCGACTCTTATGAGTTTGAAGAGGCAATTAGTTCGTGAGTGATTGTCTAGTTTTATACCCTATCCCTCTCTGTTTTGCATATGTTTATGATTTTATATCCTATCAACTATTGAAGAGACAATTAGTTTGTAAACGATTGTCTAATAAGATATATTGAAAAAGATCTGTTAAGCACTGTAGACTAGTTTATCGAATGTATTTATAAAATTTTCAGAATATGAAAATATGTCTGTGGTATTTTGTCTTAACTTATACTAGTCGGATTTCTAAATTAAGGATTTTTTTTTAATTTTTTTTTAATTTCAGAAGAGAACACCTCTAGGTAAATTGTCGTGGTTTGCCACTGACCATCGATATAGTGAAGTTCATTACCATCTTTTTTGTAATGAGAGTATGAGACCAATCTATCGTGACTATATTGGCTCGAACATGCTACGATGTAAGACAATAATTTTGATATTCATTCATCTCCTAAATTATTTAATTATATTTCTTATTAGTATTCATATACCTTTGGTATAACTAGTCCATGTAGCACACCTTGCTCTACCTGCCCAGCCAAGACCTGATGTTGAGAGCGTTGACAAAGCGGAGCTAGAGATCAGAGCCGCACCTCGACCTAATACCCTGATGCATTCACGTGTCCTCGCCGCCTTGTCATTTTCGTTATAATTATAATTATTATTATTTTGGATATTCCTTTGGTTTATTTTGATTATTATTATTCTTTTTGAGGAGTAATCATTTAGGAATTGGTATAGGATTTGTATTTGTTTACCATGTTGCAGAGGGAAAGGATTAATGGGATTTTCCCTGTAAATATGTACTTTGCCTTTACATTTTAATCTATTGAAGAAGAATAAACTAGTATTTTCAGTTTCTTTTAGTTTTAGTTGTTTCAAATTCCCGACGTGTGAACATGTCACGTGTCAATTGTTATCAGAGTCTGGTTGCGAGAAGAACCAAGAACGATGTTGCTGAAAAGAACCACATCGGTCGTGACTCTTGAGAGCGGCGAGGATGAGGCCGACCATCAAGTCCGTAAGATGGCGGACGTGAGGGTAAGGGCAGACGACGTCGACCAACGCCTGTGTGCGGCGAATGAGGCGGTAGGGCAGCTCCGAGCCAGCACCGAACATCTGCAGTGTGGACAGTATAATCTCCAAGTTCTGGTTGAGCACAAGGATAGCGAGCCAATACTGAACCTCTGCAGCGAGGACAGTTCGATCTCCAAGTTCTGGTTGAGCACAACGACAACGAATTCAGCATGTCTAGCACAACTCACAAAGATGTTTGGACAGTTACGAGTCGATCAAGGGAAGCAGGTTAACCCATTGACCAGAGGGGAGGAACAAAGGATGACCATCAACCTGATTCCACCGGGCGAGAAGCCGAAGGCAACCGCCGATGGGGGCGTGATGACGGGGACCAGTGTCAGTGGCTTTATTTCATCACCACCAATTTTAACATCCGAGACAACGCATGGAAAGGAGAATCGACGCGGGGAGACGAGCTGCGAGAAAGAGAGAGGGCTTTGAAGGCGATTGTAGGAGAGTCGGGCAGCTTGGTTATAAACGCAGACGATCAGAGTCGACCGCCACTACCGCAGCCAACTTCGCCGGCCGAGTTCAGCACCCCAGGGTTGGCAGGAGTCGGGGTAGGAGCAACGGGGGCCGAGGTGGGAGCTGGGCCGAGCGGGCCTCCCCTGCGGGTCAGGCCGCAAGGCGCCCTAGGCTTTCCGACTGGGTCAGGCGATTATTTCGGACCAAGCGCGACTTAGAGATGGCCAAAGCCAAGCCGAGAAAGATGGGTTTGGTTTGCCAGGTCTAGGGTCATCGCGGGCTCCCAGAGCGGACCAATTGCTGGTGTCCAAAAAGGATGGTACATGTGGTTAAGAGCGAGAGGCCAACATGCTTGGACGGTCTGAGGCAAGAGGAGAAGTTGTGGCGGCGCTGTTCAATACGGGGATGACAACGATCAAATTCCCCAAGTTTATAGGTCATGAGGATACTTCAGGTTGATGTTGTGCGTAGAAAAGTACTTCAAATACCAGGGATCGCTGAGGATCATAAGGTGGCCTTGGCATCCTTTCATCTCTAGGTGAGGCCAACCTATGGGTAATGTGGTTGGAAGAGGAGTTTGAGCATCATGACAAGGAAATGTGGTGGGAGTACTTTCAGGTAGAGTTTTGGAAGAGGTATGGAGCATCGGAGAAGAAAGCAGGGCACGAGGCTTTAGCCAAGATAAAGCAGACCGGATCGGTGAAGGACTACCAACAGGCTTTCAAGAAGTTGTTGAACCGTTGTCGTGGCTAGGATAAATAGGCCATTATGGGCACATACATGGGAGGTCTGAAGCCGAAACTCTCAACATATATTCGAGCCTTTAGCCCGTGGAATACAAGGGAGCATACCGGCTGGCGAAAATCTTGGAGGAGGAGATTCGCGTAGAGTGGGCTGTTAGTGGGATTGCTTCCAAGGGAGCATAATCTGCGGCACCACTTCGAGCTACGATCGGGAATCTTGCGCCACCGCGAGCAATTGCTACCACGCCACCACCTCCAGTTGCCAGGGGCGTGGACCGTCGCCCTCAGTTCGTCGAGTCATCCGTAATCTAACTCCAAAGGAAGAGCAGCCTCTATATGAGGCTGTTTAAGGGGGTGGGGGAGATTGAATCCTATTCACCCTTAAAGAATGTAAAATATTTGTGTAACTTTTTAAAAAAAAAATTTAGATTTTTTTTATTAGTCAAACCTATCGAAATACTAAGAATTATATCAAATGTTAACTTTGAGCTATCAATTTGTTAGTAAGAGTGACTTGGCAACATGATACTCACTTGGAAGATAACGTAAAAATAGATAATATTTTGATGCATTACGAAATATTTGGCTAATTAATAGCATTTTAATAAATTTGAATAATATAAAATGATCTGAAAAAGATTTGAATAAAAAATAAAAAATAATTATTGCAAGTTTGCCCTTTTCAATCAAATCAAATAAATAGTTACAGACAGCCGCCGCAGCTCTCCAAACTCTCTTGGTTGTTCAATTTCGTGCTCGAACCTCTCAACAACCCAGAAGAAGACATTGAAATTCTTTCTTCAAGATGGATACTGTAATCTGCCCAATTGATGTAAGGTGTGGTGATCAAGTTTCAGCTCTTCTCCGTCCTCCTTCTTCTCAGCAAGTTCAGGTAAACAATCAATCACTCTTCTCCTATTTCCACCTCATTCTTGTTCAGTCGCTTGGCTTATTGGGTCTTGGTATATTGGTTTCGAGAACTCCGTGCTTATGTGCTTATCTCTTGTTCTGCTACAGGATTATTTTGATGAGCTTATGTCTACAAGACAATGCCATGGTCTGAAGGTTGGGCATAATGGACTTCACGGGAAAGGTACGTCCTTTTCCCCTACTCTCTAGCTACGAGACCTAGTTTGGATGATTTCTGGTTATTGTTCTCCAACTGTTTTTGCTTAAAGTTCATTGCTTTATACTCGAAAAATGTGAGGAAACAATTCAAAAAAGAACGGAACGGGAGTTACAGCTAAATGGTGATTGAGCGGGGAAGATAGGGAGAAGACTTTGTTTGTAAGGCTCGTTGATTCGAGGGAAACCAAACTTAGGGAACTTTAGTTACTGTTATGCGAGTGAGCTCCTCTAGGGAAAACCAGACAAGCTTGTTTTGTTCATAATCCCATGTTCTAGGTTGCCTTTTGGCAAGGGAAAGCTTTCAACTTCGAATTCAACCTGGATCGCATAGTTATTTGCCTGCATGTAATCTGTTTGATTTGGACTTACCAAATTGAAAATGTTATTAAATTGTAGGTGTGTATGCTGGCATGGACTTTGAAGAAGGGGAAATTGTCTTGAGGGACCAAATGCTAGTGGGTGTTCAGCATCTGTCCAATAAGGTATTGAGATTATGAATTTAGTGTCTACTTGCCCTGTGTTCCTGCATTAACATGTTGGCTGTTCTCCAGATTGATTGTCTAGTGTGTGGCTTCTGCTTCCAATTCATTGGTTCCATAGAACTCCAAATAGGGAGAAAACTTTATCTTCAAAGTCTAGGAGTCTCCTCCACAAGCGATGAATGCACGAAGGGGATGATGGCACACAATTCGAAAGCCTGCTATGGTGCAAGCTTGTCTTCTAATGCAGATGCTGATCCTTACAAGGCCAATGGCGGGGATTTTGGAGCATGCAGTTCCAGCAGTTCAAGTGATACAGTTGGTTTGCCTAAGGAACTTCTTGAATCATTGATGAATGGAAGATTGACCTTGCCTCACTCGGACAAATTCCCACTGCCTGAAGCCATCTCTTGCCCTGGAGGCTGTGGAGAAGTTTACTACTGTAGGTACATCTCGACTTATAGTTTCTATTGATATATATACTTGACATTCTTAAAAAGTGCATCATCTATTGTTCTTATCTATTGCTTGTTAGTCACACTAGAAAACCATTGACAAAATGGATAACATGCCTGCAGCATGTTATGTTCAGAGGCAGATTGGGCATCTTCTCATTCTTTGCTTTGTTCCGGGAAGCGGTCAGAGTCACTATCTAAGGACGCACTTCTGAGATTCACACAGCATGCCAATGGTATATGCTCTAATTCCTGCCCCCATTGATTCAGTTCCATATTTTCGTCTTATCCTTTCTCCCTTTGATTCTAATTTTTTCCTTGTCCCCTGTTCACCCTCCCTCTATGTGCTCATTGATTTTCTCAGAGACAAATGATATTTTCCTTCTGGCTGCGAAGGTTTGTGTTATTCACTTGTCATCTACTGAGATTCATCTACCAGCATCTCTGGCTGAATAGGAAGCACAAACAAATATCTTCTCCGAATAACAAAGTTTATTGTCTCTTGCAGGCAATCGCCTTTACCATTTTAAGGTACAAGAAACTGAAAGCAGCTTGTCCGAAAGAAACACATAATGGATCAGTTGCCTGGAGTTTGCTCTTGGAGGCATGGAAACCAATCCACATGGGATACAAGAAGACGTAATGAATGAATTTAACTCTTGGTTTAGACTTCATCTTCACTCATTAGTAGTGGTTAATCATTTATGTATTTGTAACTTCATTCTCTTGAAATAGGTGGTGGGACTGCATCTCTTTGCCAGATGATGTCTCTGATGAGACTGCATTTCGAATGGAAGTGAAGGAGCTTGCTTTTACGGTAATTATTGGTCCCGAGGATGTTTGCCCTAACTTTACTTCTATGCTGAACCATATCTTAATACCGTGCTCTCACATTGACTTGGTCAGGGATATAAACATTTTAATGCCACGTAAAAAAAAAAAAAAATAATTCCATACCTTTCTAACTTGATCAATAACTTTCCCATGTAATTCCAAAATAATAGTCTAACTTCTAAGTAAATACTTTGCAGACCAGTTATTCTTGTCTTTTCAATGTTCATAATGGTTGGTTTCGAAACTGTGCAGTCACTTCAGCTCCTAAAGGAAGCAATTTATGACAAGGAATATGAACCATGTATCCTACTGAGTACTGATCAAGTGTTCCATTTTATGTACTACATTTAAAGCATCTTCTAGCTTGCTAGTATATGTGAATTACTTGACAATTCTCAGTATTTTCCCTTGAAATCTATGGGAATATTATCGGCATGTTTGAGCTGAATAATCTGTAAGTATCTCAACATATGAAGCCCTTTTATCCAATTTTGAGCCATACATTGACTACTTGGCCTGCTTGTATTCAGCTGATAATACTTTTTCTCAATGTCCGACAGTGATCTAGTTGTGGCATCCCCTGTAGAGGACTACTTTCTGTACATTGATGATCTTCCAAATACTGAAAAGGTGAAGAACAAATTCTTTTTTGTTACTTATCATACATTTATCTTAGATTTCGAGGTTTTGAAACTGGAGCCATTAATACTGTGTAAACAGATCCAAGCTGAAAGAATCACACAACCACTTCTGGATGCTCTTGGTGATGAATATTCAGCTTGTTGTCAAGGTATGGTTATAGTCACCACGGTTTCGAGAAAATAACCTGACTACTTTCTTACTAGATTATGAATTTTCCAGTCCCTTGTTTCTAATTGCACTACACATGTCACCTTCTACCATATTTTCAGGTACAGGATTCTATCCTATACAAAGCTGTATGAATCACTCTTGTTGCCCAAACTCAAGAGCCTTCAAACGAGATGAGGTATGTCTACCGAAATGTTCATCCCACATACTCTGCGACAAGCCTTATGTGTTTATGTTGTTTTATTTCTTGTCGCTTGTCAATCATAGGACAGAGATGGACAAGCAACCATCCTTGCAGCTAGAGCCATAAGCAAGGGGGAGGAGGTACGTATCTGAAATTTTCCACTCTTTTCCAATCGCATGTTAAATCTCTTCGTCTACTGGTACTGTCAGTAATTTTATACTTGGTCTCCTTTATATTGGGTTTCCAGATTACCATTTCATACATAGAGGAAGAGCTTCCATTGGCTGAGAGATGGGCATCTTTGGCAGATTATGGCTTCACTTGCAGATGCTCCAGGTGCCTGGAAGAAGGAGAAGAAGAGGAAGGAGGAGAAACTCCCTGAGAACTGAAACTTGGGGAAATTGGGAAGGCATTAAATTGGGCTTCCCTGGGCCAAATTTTGACAAAGCAATGTGTTTTAGGGGTCTGTCCTTTTAGGCAGTGTGCTGAAAGAATAAGCCACAAACCTTATTTATGCATCTACTAGGATCCGGACCGCGCTTGCTGCGGGTTTTGCTTCTTTTTTTATGTTATTTTTTGTTAACACATAGTTATGGGTGGCCGTCAGCAAAACAAAGGTAAGACGTACATCAATTCTGCAACATAACCAGTCCTACTAAAAGCAAAAGGCTTCGACATTGGGATGGCTAAATGCAAACAAATTCTAGTGGGATCACAGTAGTGGAGGGACATATAGAAGCTTTTGCCGTGGTGATTGATGCATGAAAGCTCGCTGGCCATGCTTAAGGGACGAATTGTCGTTGAAACTGGAGACTACAATGCTCTGTGATTGTATAGTAGCAGCATGCATTAGCAGTAGCGTTTCACAAGTTAAAAATAACCATAGGCTTAGTTGTGGGATGGGCACCTGATAACCTTATGTCCAAGCACATTAAGTACGACCTCAGTGACAGTATGCTAGGCTTTTCTGTGATGATACCGTCTTCGCCCTCGTTGATTGCTCCACCTCCTCATCACCTATGTTCACCACCACTGCCTACGGTGGTTGCAGTCGCAATGGTAGCAGCAGCAGCAGCGTGGTGCCTCACTGTAATAGAACTGGGGCGCTATAATCTGCAGCTTCTCATATTCATGTAGAGCAATCAGTACGATGAACCTCCTAATCTCCACTCGTTGCATCTACACACCAGTCGATCTTGGTCCGCTTCAGAAGCTGAAATGTTCATCGGTAGCTGGATTATACAGTTTCAATGGGTGGATCTATTTCTTGTCAAACGTTGTTACTTTAGCCAGTGTATAGAAAAAGAGATGGAAAGTGGGGAAACAATGAACTTCGTATTAGGTGTTTTATTCTAATGCTAGCTTTAACAGAGAATTCAATTAATTAGCTTAAAGCTGTTCTCCTGATATGGAATCAAGTATATCTCCGATGGCACTTACCTAGTAACCAAATTTATAGAAAATAAATAAGGGAAAGGTTACAGAGCACTTCTACCATGCTATATAGTATTGGTGCTTTAATGTACAACTTGAAGTTGTACCATAACATTAAATGTATAAGTTTAGGTTGTACCATAAAGGAATTTGTACCATTATGTTATGGTACAACTTTACAACTTGAAGTTGTACCATCACATAAAAGTACAAGTTCAAGTTGTACCATAAAAGAATTTGTACAAAAAGTATAGGTACAATCTAAAGTTGTACCATAACGTTAAAGGTACAACTTCAAGTTGTACCATAAAGGCAAAAACCTATAGCACCAATGCTATATAGTATTGTAAAATTCCTCAAGGTTACGTTACAAAACAAAAAATTACAAAATTCAAACCCAGCGCATCTGATGATCCAAATTAATTTGGAACAAAAAAAGAGGGGCGGATTGGTAATTTTACCACCCTGATTTTTTTCATGACAGTTTGACACGAATCCAAAAGAGAGAATGTACTTTTCCTAGTCTCTTTTTAATCGGATCCTACGGAATTCTTTTTAACTCGAATTTAAAAACTTTTGCATACAAACAATAATATCAACTGATATGATATTGATAAGAACTTATATGATATAATCTTGATATGAATGAAATGAACTTGATATGAACTTATATGATCTTGATATGATTGACATAGAACTGATATGATCTTGACATGAATGACTAACTTGATATTATATGATCTAAAAAAATTTGCTCAAAAAATTATCAAAGTGGATCACAAAAAATCCGATTTTTCTATGTAAATTTTTTGAATCCAATGTAAAACGGATTGTGTTATAGTCCGTTGAATTTCGTTAGAGATTTGAAAAAAGGCCTTAATAGCCGCCTCATAATCAACATGGATCAGCCCCAAATTCGAGCAGCAAAATCCGATTAGCCTCTCCCTCTTTTTTACTTTCCCTTTTTGTCCCCTTATGATAGGGATCATTGGATATTTTCTTCCCAAATTAGGACCATTGGATTGGATTTTATTAAGCCAATAAATAAAACATTCAAACTGCATATTTGCTAAAAAAGTCACTTCTGTTCATCCTGGGAAATCCTAAAAAATTTATGCAATTGAAAAGCACCTTGCTTTTAGAATGCTATCCTTCTCATCCACAAAAAAAATGTCTAGAAAATTAAAATAATTAACCAGCAATCGAAAGGACTACACAAAAGGGTTGGTTTATGGGTTGGGTTGGAGAAACTAAGGTGGTAGGTTGAGTGACGTAGCGGATCAAGTTTGGTGATGTGTCAGGTTAAAATTGGATGTGTCAGCACTTTTGTTAGCCATGTCAGTAATCTAGATCAATGCAATTAACTTGTAATGTATGCCAAAATTATTTTTTTTATAAAAAAAAGTATATATTTATTGTTTTATTCATAAAAAAGAAAATAAATAAATGATAGAGAAATCGCAAATTGAATTCCATTTTATGGTAGCTTGCATAAATGCAATTAAGACATTCATTCATGAAAATCGCTTTGCAATTTAATATGATAGCTTGATGTCGATGCTCTAACGGAGACTGACAGAGACTAACGAAGAGTGACTAAACGTGGACCGTTTTACTAATTCGAGTAACTAAACATGACACTTTCAGTAAACTCAGTAACCAAACTTGCAATTTATCCCTCTTTAGGAGTCAGATTGGAGGCTTTCGTCGGGGATTGCTCTTCGTTGCTCTAACTTTCATTAAAATGACTTAAATACCCTTAATTTAGTCTTTGCGATAAAAAAACAACAACAACAGGTCGGCGAGCGGCTTGGGGAACGACAACGGCGGACCAAGCTTCAAGATCCTTCTTCCTTCTTCTAGGTAGACCAGTGCTCAGACCTTCTACATCATGCTTCTTTTTCCTCCTTTCTCAGCAACAACAAGGGGTCGTCGGATTTTGGAATCGTAGTGGGTCGGCGTGTTAGAGGAATGGTCACGGCACCGAATCTGGCTAGTGGGATTCTTTCTCTTTCTCAGCAATGACAGCAGGTCGGCGGGTTGGGGGAACGGGAGCAGCGATGGATTGGGGAACGGTAATTGTGGTCCGACAGTTGATGGGCTGGATGACAATTCGAATTAGGGATTACTAATTTTAATTCGGTATAGGAGTATAAACGTCAATTTAGTACGGTTTAGGGAGGAAAATTTTAAATTCCTAAACTGCTATAGGTCACCCTAAAATTGCTAACGGTCGCCCTAACTTTAATACATAAATTACGTATATACCCCTAATTGAATTTCAAATTATGCTCATACCAAACAACCCCCAACCCTTCCATCTTCTTTCCCCGAATCCAGAAAATTATATACACCAAAATCTAACAGATTATCTTATGGAACAAACCATAAATTATATAAAAAAGAATAGAAAAATATTGATATAAACCAATATTTTCAAAAAATGCTCAATCTAAGGCAATTTTCTGTTGGTCCATGGTGCAACCGCAAGTGAGCCGCGATTCACATTTTTTTTAGTGAATTTTACCTCGTCGGAGTCGCTACTCATGATTAAGATGTCCTACCAACGATTATGGTTCCAGATTGATGATGATGGATTCTTTCTCTCCTTGGATAATGTTTTTTTTTTCTTTGCTTAGTCTAAGTAGTGTTTGTTTGCTAAAAAGTTAAAAGTGTAACTTTGAAGTTTTTTAGGGCGACCTTTAATAACTCCCTTAAATTTTAGGACTAAAAATAGTGAACTTTAATCATACTGAATCCAAGTATCCAACCGGGAGTTCGGTAGGGATTTAACAACCTTGTTATGCACCCAATTTATTGAAACTAGTCATTCGCAGCTGTGCGGCACTACCGCGCAAGGCAGAATTAACCGGCAGCAATTTGGAATTTCCAACCGGCAGCAACAAAATTTTAATGGACTTAAATAATATTGTATATTTTCGTTATTGTTTAGGGTTAATAGCATTTTATCCCATTTTTTATTATAATTTAACAAATGTACCCTTTTACTTTTATTTTGCACAAACGTACTCTCTATTATTACAACGTAATAAATATAGCGTTCCATCTCTACTTTTGTCAGTTGACCGTTAAAAGGTTTACACAATTACTATTATACCCATTTATTGTCAATTATCTGACAATTTTCATCAAAACAGAGAATTAATTAAAAAATTCTATTATTATGCTCATTATATTCCTTCCTTATAGCAACCACCAGTCGCCCTGAGTAATCACCACTGCCAAAATGCAGCCTTCTCACGTCCCAGCTACCCCAACCGGAAACTCAAACCGCCGCCGAATGAATTGCATCTCGCTCCCCCTCTACCTCTGCCGCCACTCATACGGCAACCTCCACGTGTTGGCAACAAAACCATAAAAAATCCCAACCTTCTCCACCTCTTCTCAATCGAAACCATAGAACAGCCGGCGGCGACAAAATAAAAGATAAACATTCCAAAATTTTAGTTTTTCAACTAGGAAAAGAGTTACAAAATTATTATTGATAACATAAAAATAACTAACATTTTGATGCATTACGAAGGATTTGGTTAATTCAAAGCATTTTAATATGTTTGGATAATATAAAAGAATTTTTAAAAGATTTGGATAAAAAATAAATATTTTTTTCTATTATCAACAAATTATTTCTTTTCTTTCTATCACTTCTCTCACCGCTCAATTTTTTCTCTCACCTTTCATTTCTCCACAATTAACTCAGAAACGTGAGTTGAATGAGTTCCAAGCGACCAATTCCTTGCTCTGGTTTTCCTCCTCCTCGGCTTCCGTCACCGAATCTTATTACAATTTTCTGAGACTCCTCATTTTCTCGTCCCCTGAATCCAGATCTACGTTCCCAATGCCATCTCTCTCGCTTTCTCTCACCTCCTGCGCCTCCTCCCTCAGGCGAGCAAGTCAATTTCTCTGCATGCTGGCACTCGAGCTAAACTTCCCAAACATTTGTAGGAAAGGAAACTGGCAGATACAAAACCCAACAGCTGATTGGTCGGTCAGAGGATCAAACACGACAAAGACTTGCTTCTATAAGACTATAACCACTGCAAAAATTATTTATTTATTTCTAAAAGGTATCTCATAACTCGATTTGATCAGTACTCTATCGATCTAAATATTGACGGCAACATAAATCTTTCTCATCTCTACCTTTCTACAATCGTCATGCATCTTATCCTCCATGCTTAGCGGCCCCAGCTCTCGTCGTTGTCCCTCTTCAATGTTCTATATCCTCATCTCTCTGCCGACACCCGACCCCGACGGGAGCATATTTTTGTAGTGAAGGATGTTGTTTGAACAGATTCTAACAATTTGTTTGGAATGAAGTAAAACCCTAGAGGCTTGGTGATTCTCATTGATCTAATGCTTTAAATACTCAGCAAAGGCTACTACATGACATTAGTAGCTCATTTATCTTTCTCTATTCTTTAGCTCGAAGAGGAAACAAGTACAAAGCTTGGATGTAAAGGAAACAAGGAAAGATAACAATGACAACGTTTTGAACAAGAGCATTAGTTGGGACGAAAATGGTGTAGTATGGTCAAGTCTTCTTCTCTGCATCTTCAAGCTTCATCGATCCACTTTTGGATTTCAATTATGTTCGAGCTGTTACCTCCCCAGAGCAGACCAAGCTTGGAGAGGAGGTACCAAAATGGAGCTGGGGAAAGGGGTTTCGTG